TTAAATGGATTGATGAGCTGGACGGTGGTGGCACAAGCCTTTCACCCCAGCACTCGAGAAGCAGAGGCAGGCAGATCTGGTCTACAGATTGAGTTCCAGGACAGCCAGGGCTACACAGAGAAATGCTGTCTCAAAAGGCAAACAGAGAAAACAAAAACAAAATAAAACAAAACAAATTAAAACAAAACCCAAAAAAGAATGGCTTTATGAAAGGGTACTTTTAGAGTACAGAAACCTAACAGATGCCATTCAGGTGAAAAGAGTAACATCAGTAGTGCTGAGTCATTTTGATATGAAGTAACAAGGACACTTTACCCACCTTTCCTTCTAAAATTTAACCTCAATTTAATCAGGGGAAAGAAAAAAAAAAAACATCAGACAAATCTCAATCGAGGGATATTTTACGAAATACCTCACTAGTGCTCAAAGCTATCAAGGTCCTTTAATATAGTTTCTTAGACTGTAGCATCTTCAGATGACAGGACCAAATGCAATACGATGCATGGCTTGGGTGTCCACAGCAATGGGGGAACAATAAGCAACATCTTTGGTTGTTTTCTATTGTTTTGATAAACACCAAGACCAAAAGTAACCTGGAAGGAAAGGGTTTATTTCAGCTCACAATGTGTAGTTCATTATGGCAGGACAACAAGAGTATGAACTCAAAGAAGGAACGGGGAGGCAGGAACTGAAGGCCACAGAGTAATGCTGCTTACTGGCTTGCTCCCAATGACATGCTTAGCATGTTTTTCTATACAACCAAGCACCACATGTCCAGAGGTTTTACTGCACACAGTTTTTCCCATGTTAATCATTAATAAAGAAAATGTCCCACCAGTTCTAGAGAGCTAGCCCTCGTGGTGTGGATAAGGGAGAGCCTGTGCCCTGACCAGCTCAGCTACCACCCAGGCCAGGATCCAGGGCTTTGAGTTGGCCCATCCCAAAATCTACATCATCTGTGAACCGTTGGAGCACGTGAAAGGGCCAGTCCTGCTGATCCTATAGCTTCAGGATCTCCATGACACAGGGCAACAACAACAGGATAACCAAGAGGAGTCCCAGTGAGGATCCAATATTGATGGTGTGACAGAAGCCAGGGATCTGGAACCAGAACACTGGCTCACTGCAACAAACATTTGCAAGTGAAGATGTGTGAACAGAAGGGTATACTGTGGGACACATTATGACACACTGCAAACAGCCTCCTCAAAGAGCTGTTTCCTATGCTTTGTTTTTATTTTATTATTTTTAATTTTCTTTTGAGGAGGAGGTTGTGAGGGTGGAGGGTGGCCAGGAGGGGACTGGGAGATAAGTGGGACTGGATGCATGTTGTGAAACTCTTAAAGAATCAATAAAATGTTGAAAAAAAAAAAAGAAAAATGTCCCATAAGCTTGCCCTCAGGCCAATTTGATGGAGGCATTCTCACAGTTGAGATTCCCTTTCCCCAGATGGCCCTTGTTTCCGTCAAGGTGACCAAACAACAACAACAACAAACCCTAACCAGCACAGGTAAGAACTAGGGAAATGCTAATAAATGGATGGAATTTAGTTAACAATAATGTGTCAACATTGGTTCATCAATCGTGAGAAATGCACAATAGTGCTGAAAGATGTCAAAAATAGTTATAGGAGAGACAGAAACATTTTCATCTTCATTTTTCTGTAAATCCAAAAAGATAGTATTCTCAACTGAGCAGCTTAAGAAAGTTGAGTTGAGGGGTTATGATTCACAGGGTGATTGAGATGGGGGTTCCGGTTTTGTAAATTGCTAACACAGTATCCTATGAATTCTGATGCAGACACACAGCAGGCTTTGCTTTGAGGAATTCTGGCTGCTGTGAAAATTCTCATCCTGGACGATGAATTGGCACGTGGCATCTGGAGTAAGTCGTCTCTTTTAGTTGATCTAGTAGCAGTCTGATCACTGGAAAATTTTTAAGGCTTTTGGGGGCAGTTTAGTTATAATCATGTTTAAAACTTACTATATCTATGAATTCAAATATGGTGGTCTATCCAAAGTGAAACTTAATTAAGACTGAATAAAATGAGGAGCAGAAAGATACTTCAGTGGATAAAGTGCATGTTATTAAGATCAGGATTGGAATTCTGAACCCCAGTACCAACATAAAAGCCTGGCAGATATGGACTACATAGAGCATGCTGGCTGGCTAGGTAAGATGAATTAAAAAGCTCTGGGTTTAAGTGAGGGATCCTGTCTAATAGATCATGTGGAGGTGATCAAGAAATATATCCACGATCAACCCCACACATGTAAGTATGTATACACAAAGGCATGCACACCCCCCACACATAAAGCAAACACTAAATGGAATAATTCTACCCACTTGAATGGTCAATAATTATATGTGGCCAGTGGCTACCACATCAGACATTGCTGATTCTGAACATTCCCGTCACGACCAGTGAGTACCATGCTAACTCAGCTCTGGACTGGGTCCCAGTGAGGACTAAAATGATCTTCAGTTCTCAAGGGCTGTACAATAAATTGTCACTAAATCACATTAGCAAGATGCTGTGTAACGCCTGTAGAGCAATACAACTGAAGATGACTCTTGAATGCGTGCTTATAGCTTAGATTTATTTTATAGTTTCCCTGAACCCCAACCAAGTGACCAGCTGTTACTCTTTCCCTAATCAGTCCATAACTCCTTGCTTTCATGGCTGTCAACCCTGGGAGTTATCCCAGAACTCAAGTGGACTTTCCTTGTATGCATACACACACTCATCCAGTGTGGCTTTCTCACATGAAAGAGACTTGAACTAGATGTAAAATTTCAAATTCACACATTAAGATCATGAATCACTTGCTCAGAATGGATTTTCAGTTTCAGATATTTCTTGGTTATTTCAGATTTATTTTTAAATTCTTAAAAAAAAACCCTAAACCTTGAGTCCTATTTTATTTTATTTTATTTTATTTTATTTTATTTTATTAATTGCAGTTTATTCACTTTGTATCACCCCCATAAGCCTCTCCCTCCTCCCCTCCTAGTCCCATCCTCCCTCCCCCTTCTTCGCGAGTGCCCCTCCCCAAGTCCACTGAGAGGGGAGGTCCTCCTCTCCTTCTTTCTGATCTTACTCTATCAGATCACATCAGGAGTGGCTGCATTGTCCTCTTCTGTGGCCTGGTAAGGCTGCTCCCCCCTCAGGGGGAGGTGATCAAAGAGCAGGCCAATCAGTTTATGTCAGAGTCAGTCCCTCTTCCCATTACTATGTAACCCACTTGGACACTGAACTGCCATGGGCTACATCTGTGCAGGGGTTCTAGGTTATCTCCATGAATAGTTCTTGGTTGGAGTATGAGTCTCTGGGAAGACCCCTATGTTCAAATTTTCTGGTTCTGTTGCTCTTCTTGTGGGGTTCCTGTCCTCTCCAGATCTTACTATTTCCCACTTCTTACATAAGATTCCCTGCACTTTGCCCAACAGTTTGCCATTTTTATTTTTTAATGTCATAATATCCTGATTACTGACAAATACAAGCACCATAAATGAAAAAAAAAAAAGATTATCAAAGCTCTTCTCTTGTTTTTTAAAGGAATGGAAAGCCCATAAAGTGACTGAGATACCAGCCGTGAAGCTAGACATCAATTTCAGAGATCCATGCCTAAAGTAGACTAAAGGGAACAAGGTAGAGAAAACGTGAAATGTTCGCTTTCTATGATGCCTACGATGACAACTGTTGATCAAATCTGCCCCTCTCTGTGTGGCACTCCACGCCGTCTCTCTCTTTGAGCAATCAGACAATTGTATTCCTTAGTTGACAGAAACCAGAGACAAAGTAGACAACTCTCAAGCAACACAGATAAATCCCGTCATTGTTTGGCAGCTCTTAGGCTCTTCTAAGAATCAACAGTGCCATTTTTCAAAGACAAACAGGCACTCATGCAGGCAGACACCGTAAATCAAACACACGAGACAGGGTAGCAAGAGTGGACAGCTGCTGCCATTCGCCCAGGGGTTCTCCGAACACGTGAACACTTCAAAAGCACTCATGGATTCCATCAGCAATATTTCTATAATGAGCAGAGCTTGAATTTTGGCTTGCAGGGGGGAAAGTACAGAAATGTGAAATCATTGACTGTGTACACTGGAGCCAAAGAAGCGATGTCTTTGAGGAATGACAGAGTCACCTGATCTCTATTTCTTTCCAGTGGGCTCATGGGCATGGAGGAGGAACAGTAGCATGCATTTCAACATTTCCAATTTCATGTACAAATTATCTTCATGACAGAGTGACAGGTCATCTCTGTGGCCAAAGGATGCCACTTAATCATGGCTCCAAGGGTCAGTGACAAGCCAGCAGCATATGGCATGTGCCTAAGGGTTAAAGCAGTTAGAGGGCTTCGTACTTTTAAGTTCCTCTTCGGGCAACATAGGCTGGCCAGTCCTGTCCACACCCATATGTTCTTAGATCCATTAATACCTCACACACAGACTCAGTGTACAAATACAGCATGGCTACCATAATATGATCACACCTCTACATTTCTATGGGTGACTGAAGTGCCTTTTGTTAGAGGCTACCCTTCCTAAGAGTGTTGCTTTAAAATCCCATCTAGTCAGAGGCAGGCCCTTTCTCGTCTCAGTTCCTTAGCAAATGGCCCAGAAGGCCAGCTTGAGAGTGGGCCAGCATCTTCTGAGGAATGTGCAAACCATGCCTGTGTCTGTCCCCCATGACACTAGCCCAGTGTCTGGGCATTTGAGCAGTTGTTCTGAAGGCTCAGGATGTTTATCCCCCATCAGCAGCTGAGCTGCCTCCTGTTTCGGGAGCAGAGCAGAGGAATGCAGTGGAAGAGACCCAGGCCTCTGGCCACCCAGATTAGAGAGTTTTGTGCTGAGGTCCCTATATGGCTGTGTTAGAGTGAATGGCCAGCTCTAGCCTGTCTTTACTCCTTGTTTGGGAAGCAAGTGGGAGGGGATCTGAGCAAGGGGCTATATAACCCTTCAGCATCCATCCTCCCTGGACACGACCCACCCAGAGTGGAGAAGCCCAGCCAGTCACCATCAGGGTAAGTGGCACCAGCCCAGGGATGTGACTAGAGATTTCACAGGCTCTCTCATGACTCTGTCTGTGGGAATCTGGATGACTCGCATGTTTTGCATTTTTGAATAAAGATTGATACTGTTATGATGTTAAGATGGCTACAGCTGTTTAGCTCACGAGATTTCACATTCAAACAGGGCTAAGATGAAATGTGGTGTACTGGAAAAGGAGATGGAGATGAACTTAAATTTTTTTTTTTTTTTTTTTTTTTGTGCATGTTGCCTGTAAAGTCTATTTATACTAAACTAACTGCTTTGATCCTGCAGCGTCCCGTAGGTGTGAAATCTAGCTGTACGTGGTAAATTATATGGTTATTTCTACCTAGGCTCTAGAAACTTTTGGATTTGTCTATGGTTCAGATTTAGTGTGGAAACTTTTCATCTGGCTGTTTTTAGTGCAGCTGAGGTAACCGGAAGCGGATGTCAGAAGTGAACTGGGGCAGTCGCCTGCTCTCTGACTTTGGCTGAAAGTCTGTATTGCTTCACTGATGTCCTGGGCTCCAACAGCTAGTATCCCATGTAGGAAAATGTGTATCTTGCGAGTGCACCAGTGCCATTTCTGTTCAGACCTGTGTCATCTGCAGCAGAGCAGAACTTATGCACTCTCTGCAGAGACAGGAGAAAGTGCTTCAGCCAGGGGAGGTCTGATTTGCATTTTTCTGCCTCAAGCATCCCTCAGCTTGTAAGCAGTCTCCTTGGAGCCAGCCTTAGCCAATGATGGCTATAATCCAGGACTTGATAGCTTCAGCAGAGAATGGAGTTTTCTCGATAAGATTTTCCTCCCATTTTGTGATTCATGACTAAATATGGTTTGCATTTTGAGACCCAAAAGCTGGAAACAGCACTCCTCCCATCCCCTCCCACTAACAATTCATTTTTGGCACAAGATGTACTCCACTGTGCTACACCAAACTCCCTGATGGGGTGCAGTTCCAAAAGCAGACACTGGAGCCACTGTGTTTTACCTAATTAGGAAATGCTCCCCGCTTCTAACTGAGCTGCTCATTCAGGTTAGATAAGAGTTGTAAACCACAGCGGCAGCTTCCTCTGGGAACATGCAGACTTCTTCTCTAGTGACAGTGCTCCTTTAAGACTTTATTAAGATAAATTTTCTGGAAATTTTTGTTGAAATATAAACTCATCTTTACTGAATTTGACAGTATTTCTCCTGTAATTTTTTTCTAACCAGACAACTTATTTTTCTGAATATAGTAAAGCACAACCCAGAAGCCATCCTGTCCAACAGAAAGTTTATGTGGGTTATCCTTTCCCATTTTCAGAGAGCACCCAATTCTCAGTGGCTTATCTCATTTGCAGCCCTGAGGCTAAGTGTAGAGAACAGGCTTTCTGTGTGCATAGACTCTCTGCTGGTCCTTCACCGCTGCCTGCCTCTGACAGTCACCCTGCGTCTGTCTGTGCCTCCTGGTGGTTTGAAAGGATCTTCTGACTCCTCATCTTCTACTAGAAAGGAAGCTAAATATAATTCAGTGTCTGAAAGGGAGGGAAGGGTAGAGAGAGGAAAGAACAAACCATCGACAAATTCCATTTTCCATTCTTGCGAGGGGAATCCACACGTTGAGGATTTCACTGTCACCCCAGGGACAGTGTTGAAAGGAGACCAAGATCACAGACAGAATATCTGAATTATGATAATAGTCCCACGGCGGCATCTATGTGCAACGCTCTGGATGTCCTTCCGGACTGTCAGAAAGCCAAACTTAAATGTCGGCTACTTAAAATACTGTTTTAAAACCAAAGGAGCACGCTCAATTAATTAAGCTTAGAAGACACGCCAGAACTCAGGAAAGAAAATAAAAACATCTCTAAAACCCAATACTTACCACACCAAAAGAACCCCAGGAAATACCTTGGTGAGAATTAGTATTTTGGGGAAAAAAAATAAAAAAAACCCTACATTTTATTATGGTTATATTATGTTTCTTTAACTTATCAGTCTGAGCTAAGAATAGCTATTTGTACACTGTTGGATTTCCAGTTTAGTAATGATTTTAATTAATGAGGAGATATTGCCACTCCTAAAATTTCAAACACCTTCTTGGTAAGTTTCAACTCATGCTTCTATATTAGGCCAGCTCTTGTCCACCGCAAACTGACCACTGTAGGTGTTTAGCACCACACCCGGCTTTGACTCATGTTTAAAGTCTCCCCAAGTATACAAGCTTTTAGTGTCAAAAGATTTCTCTTTTAAATAGTTAATGTGAGCAAATATTTTAACATTTTCAAATTTTCACATGCTTCCCTTCTTCAAAATCTACCTTTTTTTCGGGGAGGGAGGGATTAGCTTATATTTTGAAAAAAAAAAAATGTGAGTTTGGTTTGATATAGACAGAAAAAACCTGCTAGTTCTTTAGCATGTGTTGATGAACAAGGCCCTGTGGAAATCTGTTCTCATACTCTGGAACTCCCATCTGTGCTCTGTAGCTGGCTCACTCACTAATGCTGTGCCCAGCTTGAGAGTGTTGTAAGAGTCTGTGACATGCCACTCTTGTGTTGAGAGCCTGTGGTGTTAACCTGGAAGGCAGAGTTTCAGCCCATCAAAGGCTTTACAGTCCAGTGATAGCATTTCAAGATAAAAAGGAAAAAAAAGTGTGTTAGTTGAGATTTAGGGAGAGTCTCCAGCTAAAATAACACAGAAGGGCCAAGAATCCTGCCTGTGGCTGGGAGTGATGGTGAACACAGCAGGGGCTGCGGCCTCCCTGTCTCCGCAGAACCCCGCCAAGGTGCTGCAGCTATGTGTGAAGAGGAGGACAGCACAGCTCTGGTGTGTGACAATGGCTCTGGGCTCTGCAAGGCTGGCTTCGCAGGTGACGACGCTCCCAGGGCTGTTTTCCCATCCATCGTGGGACGTCCCAGGCACCAGGTGAGCCTGAGTCTCAGTGCACACAGAGAACAGGACTGTAGGCTAGACCGCTCTGTGTCTGCATGTTGCATTCTGCTCGGTGTTTATGTAACCTTGTGGTAAATAAATCTGTAATAGCCTGGGGTATAACCTAGCAGTAAGAGGCACGCACAAACAGGCACTTCGCACTGGTGATACTTAATACCCAGGAATAAATGCCAATTTTAGATATCAGGCAGAAAGAGTATACGTAATCTAAATTCAGCCTTTGTGGCCATTGTCTTCCCTGTAGTAGAAGCAGCAGCAGCGGCAGGGATTGTTATGAACTGTCTTATGTTCATCATCACCACTTTGGGGAAAGAAGCTAAAACAAAAGACCTGGCCACTCAGCTTCATAGAGTTTGGTCTTAGGTGAAAGGAATCACAGTTATTAATGTAACTTTACATCATGTGAGCCATTAAAGGAATCGTCAGGGCACAAGTTTCGGGAAAGAATTGATTTGTGGTGTGTTGGACCATTTTAGGGAGTGATGGTGGGAATGGGACAAAAGGACAGCTACGTGGGTGATGAAGCACAGAGCAAAAGAGGGATCCTGACCTTGAAGTATCCAATCGAACACGGAATCATCACCAACTGGGATGACATGGAAAAGGTACTGAGCACTTTCTGCAGGCTTCAGGATGAGAATTCCAATGAGAATCATAGCAACGCGCCATAGCATGGCAGTGCTGTGGAACCCAGCTGGCTATCCTTGCTCAAGTGCCCTGCTATTTGCTAATATTTAGCTTGGATTATTACTCACTGGGAAAAAAAAATGGACTTGTTTCTTTTTGAAAACGCCTCCCTTGCCTATTGGTGTTTGTGAACGAATTGGTGGGAGACAGTTCTGAGGTGAGAGAAGCCCTTTGCTAGTGGGACCGATGATCTCTCACGCCCACTGAACTGTCCTCCGAGGACAGTTATCCTCAGAGCACCAGCTCCCCAGAGCTAGAATTCTGGGAAGACCTGTAGCCAGCCATCCTTAAGTTTTTTATTTTTTTAAAATTTTCCCTGAGCAGTTTTGTTAATTTTCACAATTAAAAAGAAGAAACCACTGTGCATTTGGTAATTCCCAAATGCCCCTGGACCAGTAAAGTACAATTGGAGCTGACTAATTTTTTAAATGGACACCTTTTCTCACATTTAAAAATATTAATTAATTCAATTTACATTTTGGTCATTGACCCCTCCCACACTCCCTCCAACATCCCCTCTCCCCTATTCTGAGGAATAGAGAAGACACCCCCCAACCCCCGATAACCCAGCTCTTACATGAATACTTTTGAATTATCTTTCTGTGCCACATGGAGAAATACCCTTGCTCTCAAGTATTGCGAAAGAGCCAGGGGGGGGGGGGGGAAGCTAAATCCAAGGATTATGAAGCTGGTTATTAGGCATCTTAGAAACACCAGTAACAAGAAAGGGGGGAAAAAAAGCAAAAGAAACAATGAGAAATTGACAATTTTTAAATGCACCAGAACATATTAAAACTGCAATTTCTGGATTTTATTGATCTATTTATTAGCCTTTTGTATCCTCCCAAACACATATACTCGTCTAAGCATGCTCAAATATGTCATTTAAAAATAAAGCCAACACATACTACTGCTAAAATGTATTGGCAATTAAGTTTAACTTTCTCTCTCTGCAAGGGCTGCCCATCCTTAGCTTTAGTTAGTCTGATTGTGGGCTTTGTGCAACTGCAGTTTCTATCAGGGAGATGCCAGCACCGCCCGTGGGAAAGAGTTCCAGGGAGTGAAGCATGCACCACAACATGGATGACCCGGGAAAGACAGTAGTTGAACGAGAAAAAACAAAAACACTACATTCTAGCACTTAAATTCTGGAGAGAAGGAATGAAGGGAGGTTTGGGGTTTTTAAAGCCTGTGTTGAGGTAACACAGTGTATAGTAGATGACTGACTAGGATTCTTGAACATTCTGCTTTTCCTTTTCATTTTCTAGAGCAGCATGTTATTCAATTGACTGTCTGGTGGAGTAAGGTGAAGGGATTAAGGAGTTTCCCACTGGTCTTTACTGTAATGATAAATTATGGAGATGGTTTTCCAAACTGCTCAGCCTTGCCCTTTCTTCATTTTACCTTCTTCCCCCCCCCCCCAAGAGAGAGGACTGCTGGTGTCCCTTTCTTTTCTGGAAACCACAAAACAAAACCAAGAAACGTGAAACATGACAACATCTTTACAGCTGGTTTTACTTTTGTTTGTTTGTAAACTGTCCCCAGCTGTGCCTGTTAATGTCTGGGTCTCATATTCCTGATGCTGGTGGACAATGACCTCTGTATAAAAGGTGAATTATTTCAGCACCTCCCATAACAATGTGTTTTTTTCAACACCCAGGGATTAAAAGGCAGGGCTTGGTGGTACAGGCCTTTAATTCCAGCGCTCAGGGAGGCAGAGGCAGGCAGATGTGAGCTTGAGGCCAGCCTGGTCTATAAACTGAGTCCAGGACAGCCAAGGCTGAGGAGAAACCCTGTCTCAAATAAACAAACAAAAGATTGCTCTACTATAAAGCCAGCACATCTTTGTCCAAAATGCATTTACACGTGCACACACTCACACACATTAAAGATGGCAATTAGGTTTTCAGGTGAATGTCATTCACCTAAATGTATAGTCACTTGTCCTTTTCTTAAATTACACTAAATCGCTTTCCCATAAACGAAAGTGAAGGCAAGCACATAGAAGATGTACCTGAATTATAGACGATGCAATTTACTCTGGCCCAGGCACCGGGTTGACTAGTTCATTTTATGTAATTCACACAAAGAACCAGTGAAGCATATACTATTTAGTCTTTTATGAGGTGACAGGAAAGATGAAAAGAGCTGTAAACTTCTCAGCTCACACAAACAAGAAGCTGCCCAGCTGAGGTCTAAATCTATACTTGACCACAGAGCCTGCACCGTCCTGTCACACAAACCTGGGCTCAGGTTTTGCTAAGCCACTCAATAGATGCGTAGCCTTGCTGTGTGCTGTTCACACTCTCCTGGGCTTCTGTCTGCACCTGTGCAAAGGAGGTCTTGGACATTTCGTCTCGTTCTAGTTTTGTTCTGCACATTCTGGTTGCTTTCCAGGACTTTCAGCGCCCCAGAACGGCACATCACTGTGTTTCTTTCTCCTGTGCGCTTTAGATCTGGCACCACTCCTTCTATAATGAGCTTCGTGTGGCCCCTGAAGAGCACCCGACCCTGCTAACTGAAGCACCACTGAACCCCAAGGCCAACCGGGAGAAAATGACCCAGGTAAATGTTTGCTCTGGGACCCAACCCTGCTGGATTTGGGGCAAGGGTAATCAGGATGAGACTGCAACATGACAAATAGAAGGGCCTAACTGGAAGTTCACCAACAGACTGACAACCTGGGAACCCCAGAGGCCAGGGATCTTGTCAGTGATCACACCTTTACTGCAGAAAAACTAGATCACCTTGTCTCAAAGGGCAAGAAAAAAAAATCCTTAAAGGTTTAGTTAAGAAAGGAGCATAAGCCATGCTTTTAATCCCAGTACTCAAGGAAGCAGACACAGGCAGATCACTGTGAGTTCAAGGGCAGCCTAGTCTACAAAGCAAGGACAGCCAAGGCTACACAGAGAAGCCTCATCTTGACAAACAAATCCTCCTCAAAAAAAAAAAAAGTAAAAGAAAAAGGGAGCACACCTAGGGTTAAAAAGTTCTCATATGTCATTCAAAATGCAGTGTCTGAAAGCCACTTAATTTTTAGAACCCCAGCTTCCTTGTTTGTTGGGAGTATTACTACTATTACTTTTTCAAGGGATAGATGTATGGAATAATGATGAAGAGATGATGTGAGTATCATGGCTCCTGGCATAATAAACATCCAGGTCACGTGATTGCTGTCACTCTCGGGTGAGCTGTTACGTGACAGCATCCACACAGGTCCTGCTCAATCACGGGCTGTTTCAAGTGCACCCTAATTCCTAAGGATGTGAAGCAGGAACTATCATCCCAACTACCTCAATGGTGCAATTGAGGCACCTCAATGATGTTCCTCAGATACACCAAGTGATTTTTCAAAAGTCACATAGTTAGGAGTGGTGTCTGGAGATTACCCATGGCTTTTCCCCTTGAGGAATCATAAATACACCGCAGCCCAGTTCCTCCTCCTTGGAAGGGTGCTTGGTATGCACATCAGCGTACCAGTTGTTTTGGGAATCACTCTACCTGGCAAGGAGTAATTAGCATCTTGTGAATTGTGTGAGAGTGGAGAAATGACTGAGAGGTATGGGTTTCTAGCAAATATCAGATGTTCCTTCTGGTTTATAAACTAGAGAGTGTTATTGAAATGCAGTCTGGGGACATCTTCTGCTGCAGGAGGGAACTAGGGTCTCTGGTTTAATCTTGTCCCTGCACTGCACGCACTACTGGATTGGCATTCATACATAGCCCTCCACTCCATAATATAGGTCTTATGTGCCAGGATCATAGCATCTCCCACTACAGCTGGGGCTGGGACCTGATTATAGAGCTAGCATTGACCCCAAATTACATGAAAACATGGAGAAGATCAAATTGAGCCTCAGACAGATCACACAACCAAGGCTATTCCCAACCGGTCTAAGCATTGGAGTTTTCTTTATGTCCTTTGGATATTACCTTGTTTTTTTTCTTTTGTCTTTGATAAAATTAATAACTCTTAGACTTTCTCTGAGAGCTCACTTAGTCCAAATCCCTTCTCCCTTTACATTTGAGAAGTAAGGGAAAAAATGAACACTGTAGTGAATACTGTTATATACAGTGTAGGACCAAGACTAGAGCCAGCCGCTAGCTGCTCCTCATCTTGCCAGGTCCTGGGTACGTGCCGCTGGCTCTGTCCCACTCCCATCAGGTCACCAGCATGACAGTCTGTCTATTGCCACCCTCCATTTTTCTTTTTCATGTGCCCAGGTCTGCCTTGACCTGGCCAGGATGCGAGCTCTTTCGTGCTCTATGCATGACTGACAGCATCATTCACTTAATCCTTTGGTTTCCTTTGCAGATTATGTTTGAGACCTTCAATGTCCCTGCCATGTACGTGGCTATTCAGGCCGTGCTGTCCCTTTATGCCTCTGGTCGTACAACTGGTAGGTAGCCAGGGGAATGGGAAACTTAATCAAATGAACCCACCAGAAAATGTGAGACTTGATGGTTACAGCCTATAGGTTGTGACAAATGACAAGTGAGTTGGAACAGACAGAGACTGCCCTCTCCCATTTTTCTTTTTGTAAAATCAGCCCTGGGCCTCACATCATTGCTCTAGCAAGACTTTTTAAGTGGTTTCCCCCCTCCTCTTTCTGTCTGCCTCTAAGCCCTATCTCATCTTACTTCTCGCATCAAGTCATTCTCTCTTCCTTTCACATAAGAGGCTCAGGAATCGCTGTTCCCCACAGTCTTCGGTACAACGGAACAGAAAGTAACTGCACGCCAGCTGCCGTGGCAGCTTACAGCATGCTCTGTTGTCCCCCTCAGGCATCGTGCTGGACTCTGGAGATGGTGTCACTCACAATGTGCCTATCTATGAGGGCTACGCCCTGCCCCATGCCATCATGCGTCTGGATCTGGCTGGCAGAGATCTCACTGACTACCTCATGAAGATCCTGACTGAGCGTGGCTACTCCTTCGTGACTACTGGTGAGGCCCATGGGAGGTGGAGGAAAGAGGATGAAAGACAGCATCCTGCTCACACAGTAACTTAGTGGAAGGAGTGTTGTCGCCATGAGAAGGGGATTTGGAGCCAGAGAGATGGCTCCCCTGGTAAAACCATTTGCTGCATAAGCCTCACAACCTGAGGTCAATTCCCGAACCCACAGTGAAAAGAGAGAACTGACCGCTGAGAGTTGCCTTCTGGCGAGCACACGTGCACCTGAATTAACATATTAACACACACACACACACACTCACACATGCACACACACTCATACACACCCATACACACACTCACAAACACACACACATCACAAACACACCCATACACCCATACATTAATACACACAAATGATAATAAAAAATTGAATTTTAAAAATAAAATAAAAAAGAGTTCGTGGGTTAGAGACTGACCCTGATGCACAGAGCACAACTTAGCTTTTCCTGCTTTGTGACCGAGATGTTACTGCAGTTTCTTTGAGAGTGGCTATTGACATTGATGTAGCAAGTCATACTAAACATCCATCTCTGTGTATGCTGCTAGAGATCAAATCCAGGGTCTTGCACTTGCTAGCCACGCCCTGTACCACTCAGCCTACACTCTTTGGATGATTTTTAAATTTTGCATTTATAAATAGAAAAAAAAACATGAAAGATAGAGAGGTGTGTGGTTGGCAGTCTTTGGAGACATTCTATGCAGGATTCAAGTCCCAGCTTGTTACCCTCTAGATGTGCGACCTTGGACACTAACCAACCTTGCTAAGATGTGGTCCCTTTATCTGCAAAATGGCCCCAGTCACAGATTCTGCCTCTTGCGACTGCTGTGAACATGCAATAGTATAATGTCTGCAGAATGCTTTTCCAAAAGTAAGCGCTCAGTGATTATTACCTATTTATAACACAGACCTAGCAGGCAGTGATATGTGTGTGTGTCTTGTATTAAGGCTGCTGCTGCTCACACTCCCTTGACAAGAAGTCAATGCTGGGACACACAGAACTACCAGTGGGTCCTCAGTGACCGTGTTCTCCAATTGACTGAATCCTTACAAAATGGGTACGGAGCAAATTTTTGGTTTCTGGACACACTTAAAGCTCCGTGTTTGAGCGCTGACAAACATTACAATCTTCTTTTCCAAGGCAATGCTGAATTAATTCCATTCTTGTTCCCCAAAAGACCAGCCAAAGATTCCTAGGAGCCAGGTGAAACAAAGCCCTGGAAGCTCAGAGCACAGGAGTCTGAGTAGCAGGCAGCCACCTTTTCCAGATCTCTCTTCCTATGGACCACTGGAGCTGTCCCAGGCTAGCATCTGTCTCATTTTGAAAATGAAACGTGTCAACATGTCAAAGATCAAGCTACTATCTATCTGGGCAGGGCAACAAAGATCTTTGAAAACTCCGAGTCTTCTGAGGAGCTGGTTCAGTGGAAGAGTGACACGGGGCAGGTAGATTTTAGCTCCTGCGCAAACTCTAACATGCACCATGTTTCTATGTGTTTGACAGCTGAGCGTGAGATTGTCCGTGACATCAAGGAGAAGCTGTGCTACGTAGCTCTGGACTTTGAAAATGAGATGGCCACTGCTGCTTCCTCCTCTTCCCTGGAGAAGAGCTACGAACTGCCTGATGGTCAGGTGATCACCATCGGGAATGAACGCTTCCGCTGCCCGGAGACCCTCTTCCAGCCATCTTTCATTGGTAGGAAATGGGGAGTGGAGTCTCCCTGTTACGTAACCGGCTAACCCTCGGCTACCAGTACCCATTCGCAGGTAGAAATGAACCAGGGCTTCAGAAACAGAAGCAGTTCTAAAGTAGGCAGAGTACCACATTTTCAAAACGGGAAGATCCAAGGAAGCCGAGAGAGGAGTTGGCTCCCTAGGAAAACTCTCTTACGTCATAGTCAAGACAAGTGCATTCTCAGCATATCATGTAAAAGTTACTGTTATCCATGTTTAGGATACAGTGGAGCACTGGGGTGGTTGGGGAAGACGAGCCGAGTGCTGAGTTTGGGGATGCTAAGGGGAGAAGGAAAACAGAACGTCTAGAGTGCATCTATTCCACACTGCCACAGCAGGGTCACACGGGGTTTTGCAGAGCTATCTTCTTTGGAGTCTGGGGGCCTGGGCTTGAGACTTCGTTCTATTTTCATGATCATGAGCATGTCAATGAACCTCCCCCAGGCTCAGTTTTCTCATACTAGGACAACTGGAAGATTTACAGCAGAGCTGTGTAGCGCTCTCAGCCCAGTGCTTGTCCAAAACAAGCATTCAGCAATTCGGTACTGCCAGCAAAGAATAATCAGGCGGTGGTGTTACTAGTATAACTAGATCACAGTGCTAGGAAGGCTGAGGGGGCTGCTTAGAGGTTTATTACAAAAAGCCTGGATCAGACGTCCACAAGAAACTCAGCTCCTCTCCCCCTCCCCCCAACGCCTGTACAAACATTGCAAAAAAGTATCTTTGCCTGCTGGAGATGCTGGTATAGGTCTTTAATCCCAGTAATAAGGAGGCTAGCTGAGTTTGAGGCCAGCTTGTTCTATACAGCAAGTTCCAGGCCAGCCAAGAATATAGAGACCTGTTTAAAAACAAACAGACAAACAAACACCGTACCCAAGTAGGAGAGATACTTTTCTGACAATCCCACCATCCAATCTTGGGTCTCCCAGCTCTGGAGAGACGGGAACGCTCTGGTCAATGGCTCTGGCCCCACCTTTTACAGGACATCTGAAGGTCCTTATCTGGGTCCATTGTAGCAGAATGTCCATTGAGACACTGGTGTCAGCATGTTGTAGCCTTACCCTGGAGGTGCCGGAGGTGAGCCTCCTCTTTAGACAGGAGGCAGGAGGATGGTATGGAGTGGAACAAGGCCCCTTTGTCTCTTGGTTGGCAGTGTCTGGTTCATCATGCCTGCCAGCCTCACCCATTAGAAGACCACTTAGCTGCACCAACCTGATTTTCCACGTTCAATCTAAGTTTTGCCCAACACCCAAGCATGGCGGTCTTTGTCTCTCTTCCAGGGATGGAGTCGGCTGGCATCCATGAGACCACCTATAACAGCATCATGAAGTGCGATATTGACATCAGGAAGGACCTCTACGCCAACAACGTCCTCTCGGGGGGCACCACCATGTACCCAGGCATCGCCGACCGGATGCAGAAGGAGATCACAGCCCTGGCCCCGAGCACCATGAAGATTAAGGTACAGCCCTAAGAGCCCCTGAAGCAGCAGGAGGGGCGGTTCTAGAGCAGACGCAAGCATGCCGTGCCAGAGGCAGCCTAACACGCTCCCTATTGTTCCCAAAGGCAGCAAGACGGAGATGAGGGTGAGTTAGATTTATACACGTCCCTCTTAAAACAGGCTCCGAGAGGTCCTGTCCTGAGGACAATAGGGAGAGAGGGAGCCGCCGCTGGGTTCTGGAGGGCTCGTGTCCTCTGAGGCTCGCCTGACAAGCTAAAATCCCCCCTCCCCCCTCCCTTAGCTGGGCGTGCTGCAGGAAGAACCACTTATCTGGACTTTGAGAGCAGATAAGCTGCATCTAGCAGGAGTTACACAAGTCTCAGTTCTCCAAACTTTACTTCTTGAATGGAAATGAATGTGAAACTCGTGAGCCCTGTACAGTCAGAGAGCGCAGAGAGCCAAGAAAACTGGGGACACCAAGGTGACAAAACCACGAAATGAGCCTGGGTGGGAGCCAGAAGGTCTCTGTACTCTTTGTGCAACTTTCTGGAATGATCGCCAAGGCCCCTCACCATGGAAGAATAGAAACGTGTGGCTTCAAAAACAAAACTCCTGTGAGGGCCAGCTTTGAAATTAAACCTGGTATTGACGAATGTGACCATGACTGACAGGGACCTGAGCCTGTTCCTTTGTATGTGACCTGAGATTCACTGGATACCTACCCTTCAAAATTGTTATAGGAATTAAATAAGCTAACACCTGTGAAATGCTTAGCAAGGGGCCAACCCAGTGAGAGACAGGGGAATGAGAAAGAAAAAAAAACCCAAATGTTGAACAAGAGCTTGCAGGTAGACTGAGCGAGAACCCAGCATTTCAGAACACTTCGTTCACTAGAGCAGCCACTGCTATCCGAGACACTAAGACTCGGGTGGAAATTGGGGTTGCTCAGCTCTGTCTGAGTCTCTGTGACAGATCACACACTGGACCAGTGCTCCACACTCGGCCTAAGGCATTCACTCACCCAAAACCAAACCAACCAAACAAAAAACAAACAAACCAATGAGCATGGCCCTGGTAGGTAAGGCCTGCACTTTGAGTAAGGCAGTCACTGCAGGGGAAGGGGGCTCTGAGCCCTGTGTCTTAGACAGTGCGTATGGTTGGGACTTCAGAAAGCTGTGGCCAATTTAACGGGGCTAAAGAGCGCTTGCACAGTAAGTTCTGGAACAATTTCAACATCTCTGCGCACACTAGGAGCTGCTGAGCTCGTAGGCTCAGCTTCTGGAATCAGAGACAGTCAGGACCTTAATACATGGGGCTCCACATGATCTGGGCCCAGTTTGGGTTTGCCCAATGAAGGGATAAAGGAATTAGGGATAGTTTGGCATGGATTGGATGGAAAACACACGCACGCGTACACACACACACACACACACACACACACACACACACACACACACACACACACACACA